GGAGGCTAGAATAGAATGAAAGACAAGATGGTGGTGAGGAGTAAGGCGTTATAGATTTCTTGCTCCAATTCATAGTCTGGGGGTTATGGTTTACTTTACAAAGCGTTAGCTAGATGTTCATCTTAGTTTATATTCGAAGTAATTATAGAAAGGTTACGGACAAAAAATAAGTGGGAAGTTTTTCCTTTCATGAGTGGGTGTCTAGCTAATTTCAAAGACGGATGGGATGGTAGTTCAAAAGCCAGCGTTTAGAGACACCGGAAGTTGCGGACAGTGCCGCGATAGGAACGATGTGCAGGTTCCAATCCAGACTGTCGTTTTGCACTGCCTGATCTGGATGTCTAAGACATGAAATCTGGTTAAAACAAGTTAGTCTCATGTAAAACTAGCCCACATTTAGAAGTGGTTTGCATTTCTAGCCAACATAGCAACGATATTCTAAGCCTAAAATCCTGTCAACTTTGAGCTTTTTCAGAGAGTTAGGTGATAATGTAGTATAGTAGACAAAAATACATGATCTCTATATAAACCAACGCAGGAAGCAATCGGATGCAATCAACAATGACAGCATCTTATTATTGATTGGGAGAAGATACATAGTTGCAAATAATGGTACCCTTTCCCCCAAGGTATATAAAATATCCAGAAGTGAGCTTAAGCTGTTACAATTCCTTTACAGTACCGTACTACCAAACTCACTGTATTTCTACGCTTATGTAGGTAGCCCAGCACCAGTTGTACCTACCCCAAGGGATACCCCTGTACGAAGGCGAGGAGCCGATCTCGGCGTGGATGTCCGTTTACAAAGTAGTCTAGCTTCATATGGCAGAAGTGTTGTTCAAACCTAAAAGTTATACAGTACTTATATCCTTAGTCTGGATACCTATAAGTCTTCTCAAAACTGTACCTGCACATATGCATAGTCACCCAGCATCAACACTTTCTGGCCCGCGCTAACCAACGATATTGGTTCTTTCAACGGCCAGTCCGGCCTTCTAGATCCTAAGTCGCTCTGTGTAGCCGAAACCCAGTAGCCCTTGATAGATAGCTCAGTAAGCTATATGTGAGCACTGACTCTTTTTTAAAAAATCCACTCCCTCAATAAGGTTAGTGTGGGGGTTGTGGGGGTTGTGGGGGTTCAAGTGGGGTAGCTGGGCTGTGTAAAGGTGCGATAGATTGGGAGGAGGGTAGAGGAAACTTCCCCCGGACATTCTTATGAGGCAGCCGGAACATGGATCCAATCGCAGTTTTAGTTACTTAGGTGGTTTACTATACTGTACTTATTACTTGTTACTCTTGGTGGAGAAGAACGAATGGCCTAGGTATCATGATACTTAGGTACGTGGTACATACTACATAACCTCCCAGCTCACAGATATATATGCATATGGTGTGGGAGATATCAACTGTCTACGAGAGGCTGGTGACCGCCAGACTATACAGTTTCCTAGTATGCGATAGTCTAATTCATTTACTTTATCCAACCGAAACCAAAATGTCTGCCCCAGGCTTGCCTCCATTCTAACCAATATGGCTTCAAATGTACACAGCGCAGAACTCCTGATACTTCTTGATGCCAGCGTAGGAGTTCATGCATATCTATTTTGAAAAGCACTACTTTGGTGGGCCATCTGATCGCTGGGTTGAGGTATTGTTACGCATGTAGTTTATTATGGTTCTTGTATAGGCCCTATACAGTCAAAAATGACTGTTGCATCCGTATATTTGATAGAGTTGCACCAGGAAAAACTTGACAGTCCCTTTAAATTCCAGTGTTATATCCACATAACCTACTTTCTTGCATCAAAAAAGCCTTTGACGGGAGTTATGCAGTAAGACAAGTTCGGCGTAGGGCAAAAGCAAGTGGAGCTGTGACATGAGTGAAAACCGGTACATACTGTTCATGAAAATGACCTTCCAGCGGTGCTTTTCTCTAAGTATTTGGGAACGGCATTGGGACTCGCGGTGAATCAAAGGAACCCTTATAAATTTGATTATTGAGGCGAACATAGAGACTATCGACAGTAAGACAGTTCTAAGTCTTCTGTACAGATCGAACATTCAAGCTAATATCAAAGCCGGAACGGGGCGAACCGCTGCCAAGTCCGAGTCTCAGTTTGATTGGAACCAGTCAGTACTCTATGGTGAAACCGAAGCATTTAGCCACGCTGTCATGGTATGTAATTTATTACTCCTCACACCTGCATTGAGCATGGTTATGCGTACTACGTACCTGCTACTTTGTGAATCGTTGCTTTCATGAAACCAGATCTAGATATTAGAGCATCGAATGTAGTTAGTAGAAATTCAATCACTAATGTACGTATATGATAGTAGGTATGTATCATATCCAGCCTTATTCAAATGAGCATCTTTACTTTAAATAAAACTAAATGATGCACTCTCGGGTAACATTGCGGCACAATCCAAGTTTCACGCTTCTATCGCGCCATGACCACCGCCACATTGCAGTCACTTACCAGCACCAATTACCACCACCACCAGCAGCATTACCTGGTACACCACTTCTACGGTACTGTCCAGCCTTGTTCTCGCCCTCGCGCAATCTTCGCCAGGCGTGAGAAAAGGCACGCGACCGACTCCGGCCAAAACTCCCCCATCTATAGGTCTCATACTATCCTGCCATCCGTCATCGTACTTAGGGACCCCTCCACTCCTTGTGCAACGTATTGACAGATCTGCAATCATGGGGATCAATAAACAAAAGCTACGGCAGACCAAACAGCGGCCCATGCGGGAGCAGGGTGCTATGGCGCCGCCCAATTCCCATGGATGCGGAATGGCTCGACTGCAAGGTATCCCGCTCCCTGCCGGCTGTACCCCGGCCAACGGCCAATGTGGAGCAGCTGGTGGGGGCCGTAGATGGGGGGATACAGAAGAGGACCGGAAGAAGCTTCGAACCAAAACTTTGAACCCTTGCAATTGCTTTGCAAATTGGGTGCAGCGTCTATATATGTACAAGCACCCCCTGTTTCCCAATTGCAACTTTTGCATATCTGAGGTAATGGGAAAAGAAATAAATCCAGAGCAAATCTCAACTACCGCAGTTTCCTTGCTTACTTCGGATCCATGTCATACCCACCCCAAAAGCTATAAGATGGAAACTTGTATGCAAGATTTTTTTTTTTTTTTTAAAAAAAAATACTTGTTACTCTTATGCGGCCCCGTTAGGGCCATGAGGAATTGTATGCAGGATGGATTCAAGTCTACACATGGGGTTTGCTTTAGTCTCCTCGTCACGGTTCAAAGGGAGCTAGTCTTCCAGGTCATGTGGGGATGATGCATCATTACTCGTACCCGCGTGGGGGGAACCCCTGCGCCCTGCTTCTACGTAATTTACCTATGCCCAGATCTATCGGGTTGAAAACCAAAGATTTTATTCATAGTAAGTACCACATAAACGACCCACTGTCTTTCCCATAAGAAAACTTCGACGTCCATGTCCTTAAAACTACTTGATCCATACCTTTCCTCGCAAGACTATGTACTGTACCTGTACGGGAATATGCATATGGCAAACGGAAACGGCACATACGGTTGAGTTTCTCTCGCGAATTGCTTCCTCCTTCAGTTCTTGGGAGTTTTGTACATACATACTTGTAATTGGGGGTGGTACGGTATCGTCCCAGATTCGTCTAGGTGTAAGATCCTTTTTTGCAAGTTGCACCTCATTATCGTTTTAAACTCTTGATATAACGGTTATATGTTACGTATATATGTTCTGGGCCGCTCGCGGGCATCGGCCGCCCGCGGGCAGCATACCCACTGTGCCGGCCGCGGGCAATTTAAATAATTACTCAATTTGGTGTATTGATAAAGTACTGATTTACTAGAAAAAAAAAGAATTGATAATTTCCCAGCGACTGCAAAAGATTCATTGATTTCCCAGTCGATTAGACCCCCTCTAGTATTCCAATTTGGTTCAGCTAGAGCAATATAGTCATGATCTGTTGATACTTTCATATGTTAATAAATTAAGCATTTCAGATTATTCTTAAAGTATCCGCGACAACAATTAGAGTAGAAGTTTTCGCAACACCAGTAGTTATAGATGCCTGGTGAACTGTGGTTTACCGAGCAGTTAGAGTATCTAAAATATCAAACTCTAAGCCCATAAGGTCAGTAGTTGGGTAAAGGTTATCAGGTTTAGCAATATCAAACTGCAAAAGTATGAGGTTTGTTGTAGCATTGTGCCATTTGATCTCCCACAACGCTGTAAAATACCATCTACCTGTTGTATAATTCTAGGTAGAACCTGCTTCGTTTTGGTTTAAAATCAAGAACTTGGAGTAGCTTAGCAACCTGCATATAAAACAGTACCTGTTATTAAGAAAGTACCGCTTTGCACCTGACCTGGATTTTATAAGCGAGGAATAGCCTGGATTTTTCTAGTATAAAAATCAATCTTGCAACAAGATGTAGACAAAAGTATTATAATTATGATTGCTCCAAATTTCACTGAATTCCACATAGCATATCGATATTCAGCATAAGATGGTCGATATAGCTCCGGCAATAAGGCCTTGTCAATAAGAACCCCCTCGGATAAGAAACTAATTTCCAAATACCCATTGGATAGGGTTGCGGATTTTTAGGGCAGCAGTAAACTCAGTATCCTCTTCCCTATTCCTTCATCATCAGAGATGCAGTAATGAGTTGTTAACATCGCCAGCATGTACTTCATCATCTGGAGGGCTTGAGGTAATTTTCCCGGAATTCTCCCTTGTTCAATGTCTGCCGTCTCCCACTAATCAACAGGAAGGGTATATGATGTGGATAGGGCAGTCAAAATAACTTCTTAGGGTGTTTTTTCAGTGTCGCAGAATGTTTTGTTCGATTGAGATTTACCAAATTGAGGAATTATATTAATTGCCCGCGGCCGGCACAGTGGGTGTGCTGCCCACGGGAGGCATATGCTGCCCGCGAGCGGCCCAGAACATATATATTAGTTAATTATGCAGAATATATCAAGTAACCCATCCGTCGTGGTGTAGTGGCTAGCATTTGAGACTCTCATATTTCACGCCAAGTGAAATCGTGGACTCTCAGAACCCGGGTTCAATTCCCGGCGACGGAACTCATTCTTTTTACTTTTTCCCTATTGGGGAAATCCCCCCCTCTAATATCATCACCATAACCTGTGGCATAGTACATATAGTTCCCCGCACCCGAATGCAGAATGCTCAAGAGGATGTTTTAAATGAATCGCAATTAGCCTTTATGCCTGCAAGATGATGACCTGGTATCAATTTTGGGGCAAGTCAATTGGTTATTGTGCATAATGTAAATAACTTCATATCTACCAGGATATCAATCTATACTTTTCACCATATTCATGACTTGGTCGTGGCTGCTTCTAGTTATGGATTCGCTAAGGGCCAAGTATTCAGGGTAACCATTTGAAACCATTATACCACTATTGCATCACATCTTCTGAACATACACGGATAACCAAATCCCGCCATCTCTCATAAATGGCAGGTCAATCAATTTGTGGTGTACAAAGGCACACTTAAACAAACAAACATTAACCCAGTACCTAAGTATCCAATCCTCTGATCACATTCCAAACAAACCATCGAAACAAATACCGCTGACAACGAAAACCAAAAGTAAGAAACAAACTATAAAATTCAACCTTTTAATCCCAAGCATAGATGCAAGAGTATCCGCAGCAAATAAGAGGTACACCACATACACCTCCACCGCAACCCATTACTCCTTACGTCTAACCCGAGCACATCATACATTCCTCCTTATTTTCGATACTGCACGACAAGGCCGCATCAGCATAAATATCCACCTCCCTAGACTCACTCACCCCCGCACCATCTTCACTCTGAACCTTCGTAAGACGTAGCTCATCCTCATTAGTAGGGCTCTCCAGCGGCTCAGTAGTGAGCAACTTCGGACTGTCACCCTCGTCATCATCCGCCTTGAAGCTAGGGATATCATGAGGCGTAGCGCGAGTGGTATTCGCTGGCTTTGTTGCTGGCTTTGTTACTGGCTTCACCTCTTCCACCGGGGGGGCTGCGGACAAGGCAGCTGCAGAGGCGCCATTGGGTACAGATGTAGCCATCATTGGTCGAGGAATGGGGTTGTTGGAGTTTCCGCTGTTATAAGAGCTCATACCGCTAGGTCTTCCCTTACGTGGTAGGGTCTTTGCAACAGTAGTGTCCTCTACTTTAAGCGCCTCCTTGTCGACAGTGAACTGGATAGCTGCGGCAGCTGCCTGTGTACGGAGATAGTACATCCCCGTCTTAAGACCCTTCTTCCATCCATAAAAGTGCATAGATGTGAGCTTACCCATGGTAGGGTTTTGGATGTGGATATTGAGAGACTGGCTCTGGTCAATGTAGGCAGAGCGGTCAGCGGCGAGATCAATAATGACCTTCTGGCTGATCTCCCACACTGTCTTGTAGAGGGCCTTGATATCGTCAGGAATATTGGGAATATTTTGTACAGATCCGTTATCGGCAATGATACGGTTCTTCATATTGTCGGACCATAGTCCCATGTCAACAAGGTCCTTCAAGAGCCATGGGTTAACGACCTGAAATTCGCCAGCCAAGACACGACGGGAGTAGATGTTGGAGGTATAAGGCTCGAAACACTCGTTGAATCCGAGAATCTGACTGGTGCTTGCAGTTGGCATGGGTGCCACTAGCAAACTGTTGCGCAGGCCGTACTTTGCGAGCCTCTCCTTCAAGCTGGCCCAATCCCACAAGTCACTTGGGGTAACTCCCCACAAATCGTATTGGAGTTGACCCTTGGAGGCGGGAGATCCCTCATAAGTGCTATATGGACCCTCTTCTGCGGCAAGGTCAATGGAAGACTCCACGGCGGCGTGGTAGATCGTCTCGAAGATCTGTGCGTTAAGTTGCTTTGCCTGAGGGGAATCGAATGGCATGCGGAGGGCAAGGAAAGCATCAGCAAGGCCTTGGACACCGACACCAATGGGCCTGTGCCTCATGTTGCTTAGTCTGGCCTCCTCCACAGGGTAATAGTTGACATCAATGATCTTGTTCAAATTCTTGACCACGACCTTTGTGACATCATGCAATTTGGCAAAGTCATATTCTCCCCTGCTGATATCAATGTAGGTAGGAAGGGCTAAACTTGCAAGGTTGCAGACAGCAACTTCGTCTGGGGCACTATATTCAACAATTTCGGTGCAGAGATTAGAGGATCGGATCGTTCCCAGATTCTGCTGGTTCGACTTCCTGTTGCATGAATCCTTGTACAACATGAAAGGGTTACCAGTCTCGGTCTGCGATTCAAGAATGCCGTACCAGAGCTTCTGGGCTTTGATAGTCTTGCGGGGTAGTCCCGGTGTGTTCTCATATTTGTGGTATAGCGCTTCAAACTTTTCACCCCAGACGTCTGCAAGTCCTGGTGCTTCATTAGGACAGAATAAGCTCCATTCGCCGTTCGCTTCCACTCTCTTCATGAACAAATCGGGTATCCAAAGGGCGTAGAAAAGGTCTCTTGCTCTAGCTTCTTCCTTTCCATGATTCTTTCGGAGGTCCAAGAAGTCGAAAATGTCTGCGTGCCATGGCTCAAGGTAAATAGCAAAAGCGCCTGGACGTTTGTTGCCCCCTTGGTCGACATAGCGGGCAGTGTTATTGTAAACCTGGAGCATGGGAACAAGACCATTCGATGAACCATTTGTACCAGCAATGTAAGATCCGGTGGCTCGAATGCAATGAACGTTGAGACCAATCCCTCCGGCGGTCTTGGAGATCATTGCACAGGTCTTCAGTGTATCATAAATCCCTTCGATCGAGTCATCCTTCATGGTGACCAAAAAGCATGAACTCAACTGGGGCTGGGGGGTACCAGCATTGAAGAGTGTGGGGGACGCATGTGTGAAGTATTTGGAGCTCATCAGGTTGTAAGTCTCAATAACCTTCTCCACGTTGTCTCCATGAATTCCAACAGCAACACGCATAATCATGTGCTGTGGTCTCTCGGCAACTTTCCCATCAATACGGAGAAGGTACGATCGCTCGAGCGTCTTGAAACCAAAGTAGTTGTAGTTGAAGTCTTTATCGTAGACAATTGCAGAGTTTAGCTCGTTAGAATGACGCAAAACCGTTTCGTAAGTCTCTGTTGAGATCATTGGGGATGGTCGTCCATTTTTCTGGGTGGTGGTGGTTAGAAAAAATCCGGATAACAATCTGGAAGGTCAACTCACAGGATTGACATAGTGGTACAGGTCACTGATGACTTGGCTGAATTGTTTCTTTGTTTGTTTATGCAAGTTGCTGACTGCAATTCTTGCAGCGAGAATGGCGTAGTCTGGGTGGGTGACAGTCATGTATGCTGCTGTTTCTGCAGCCTTTTATCTCCAAAACATTAGCCAAGCCCGGTTTTGAGACAATCCCTTTGTGGAGTAGGATAGTCAGAGCCTTACCAGATTGTCCAACTCGATGGTAGTCACACCTTGGTACACCCCCGAGATGACTTTTTGGGTGATACTGGCGGCGTCGACATGTTCAGAGTCCAATCCATAACACAGACGAGAGACACGGGCTGTGATTTTGTCGAATTGAACCCGTTCCTTGCGACCGTCTAGCAGAAACAGCTGTTAGCTCTAGGCGCGGTCAGTGCTTACGGACGGCAGACACGCATAAAGTGGAAATGACCCCGCACCACACGGAAGAGGGGCCAATTCAATATCTGAGGTCTTTTCTTGAAATGCCAGCACGGCCATAAATCGGCAGCCCAGTAGATAATACATACCTCTCTTGTAGACATACATGGTGCCTGTCGTCTTTGTTTGTTCACAGGGCTCGCTTATTTGTGACGGTGCTCCGAGCTGGAACGTTTGCTTTCACTTGTCTCTCACCGAGTAGCCTGTGGGGTATAAATGAAATGAACTTTTCAGTGTGTACGGAAAAGGAGGAGGCGTACTTGGAGAAACAAAACCAGTCGTGGGGGGGTGGGGGTGTTTGGGTGATGATGATGATGATGGGGAGGAGAGTGAGACGGGAGGTGGGGAGGACGGGCCACAAAAAAACCTCGCGTCCTAAAGTACTGTTCCAGGGACGCGTTAATCTTAATCACCAGGCTAGATCCCGCAAACAAACAAACTGGGTAGGCAGTGCTAGCAGTGCAAGGTTAGGGTTCCAGCAAATTGAACTTTTTTTTTTTTCGGGCGCGGCCACTGCCATGAATTGCCTTGGCAGGGCTGTAGTACGGAGGGTAAGAAACAAACAGCTTCTAGGGAACATACGTCTATACTCTAACTACAGTACCTCTTGTACGGTATCTGCGCCTTTCCAATCGACTCGGAGCTTTGCAATTGGTCCTCGATACAAGGGCAACCGGAGGTGAGGAAGTGTACCGCTTGCAATTGGTCAATTGAGTTAACCTACCCAGGACTGACTGGGTTACTGTGCATACACTCACACTTCAAGACCCGTGCCACCAAGGGTACCGCCCATCGCTCGATATTGCACATTCATCTGGCATGAGAGCAAGTTGTATCTAAGTCCAGATGAAAAGTTAATCAACCCTAATAATATATATGGATTGCGGACATTTAATACAGGTGCAGACCTTGATTCTTGGCGGTGACGCCAAGCATCCCAATTGGCATCACTTCCCAAAAAGGAAGTGCAGCAGAAGCCCCTCTACATATAGCATACGAGTTCTAGTTATCACCCCAACCCACACTTCATGCCTCTCGACAACCATTTGGTCACCTTCACACCGGGTGCTCAACGGTAAGGGTCTTCCCTTCATATAAGCGACTGGTCCATCGGCCTTACATATGTATACTGTACATAAGCTCATACAACGGCGTCCCCAGCGTATGGAGAATGTTGTGCCTACCCGGAGTTTCTCAGGAGAGGTACTACATAGGACTGACGATACCGGGCTTCAATCTCAGGACTATGCCTTCAATTCAACCAACACCTCACCAATTCACACTAATAGGACCGTACGAAGAATGGGCTTGCTGCCATGCCTCCATACATTACCATTTCCAACCATCTGGATCCAGAGCCCCATTGACTACGAGCTGGTAAATACTGAAGCAAGCACCACGGCATGCATCACAAAAGGGCA